TTTTGACGGGGGGGAAATCTTTATGGATACCCCTGAGCCCAGGGAGACTCAGGGGTTATGTGGGGACTCCCTCCACACTGGAAGGCCTACCCCACTAAAACCCCCCCGGGTTTCCCTCTCGCCGGTTGAGTCGGCGCCGTGGGATCAGTGAACATTCACCACGACGCCGCCCGGCCGCCCTAGCTTGCGCCAGGGCTCCCGCGCCAACGGAGGGACGAGTCGGTTGTCCTCCGACCCGCCCCCCAGACGAGTGAGGCCGTGCAATGTAGGCTCCGGAGTCCCTGTCCAGAGCCCGCTGGTCTCACTAGGGGATCAGGCGAGCAGCGAACTGCCTTCGCCTTCTCCCCGTACGTCTGCGCCGGAGCGGGTGCGCGTCCGCCGCGTCCTCGCGCACCCGCTCCGCGGCCTCCTTTTGCGACATAACCTCTGTGCAAAAGGAGGCCATCGCCTCCCAGGACTCCTCGCTATCGAGCATGGCGGCAACCACGCTCGGCAACGAGAGGTCCTGCCCTATAGTCCCCGTCAGAGTGCGGCGCTGCTCATCCCACCGGCTACACACCTCTAGGGTGTGCTGCGCGGTGTCATCCGCAGCGCCGCACTCGTGGCACGACGGGGACGGTTCCCTCCTCGCCACCTTGTGCAGGTAGTGACCGAAGCAACCGTGCCCGGTCAGCACCTGCACAAGGTGGTACGACAGTGGCCCGTGGGACCGGTTTCCCCACTCAACGAGGACATCCGCCAAGCCCTCTTTCCACCGGTCCCGCATGCGCTGCGCCGCGAGGCGGCGCTCCCGCTCCACCTCTTGGGGAGCGGGTCGCTCGCCTCGGTCCCTCATTCCCCGCCGGTAGGTGCGGACCTCCGCCAGGACCTCGGCTTCGAGGTCCCACGGCGGAGTACCGGCGAGGACGCATGCGGCAGCGCAGGCCACCGTCATGTACGCCCTGCACATTCGCAGGGCGACCACCCTCTGGGGCCTCCTCAGCAGCGACTTCGTCGCCGCTGATAAGGCCCCACTCCAAATGGGAGCCCCGTATAAGGCCATACTCCGGGTCACCCATATAGCCTTCTGCATGGGGCTCCCGGCCTCCCGAGGTTGGGTAGGAGCCTGCCCAACGCCGATGCGGCGCCCACTATTCGGGGAGCAAGTTGCCGAAAATGCTCCCCGAAGTTCCATCGCCGGTCTAGGACAAGCCCCAGATATTTCATCTGGGACTTGACCGGGACCGATACTCCCGCGATGGAGATGTGGGCGCCTGCCGGCACCGCCCAACCTCTACCCCTCCCGCCGAAGACGGCCACATCCGTCTTCGGCACGGCGACCTCGAGCCCCAGCAGTTGTATTCGGCGGACCAGCATGTCCGCCGCTACTGAGGCTCTTCGGGCCGCCTCCTGGAAGGTGGTCCCCCGGACGGCCACCAGCGTGTCATCGGCGTACGCGATGACCGCCGTCCGGGGGAGCAGCGCGCCCCTCAGCACCCAATCGTACCCCAGGTTCCACAGTAGTGGTCCTAATACGGACCCCTGGGGTACTCCGCACCTCATTGGGCGCTCGGCGCGCCTCCCTTCCCTCGTCTGGTAGAGCACCACCCTGTCCTCCAGGTAGTGCTCCACCAGACGGCTGAGGTGCCTGGGGATATTATGGTACCTCAGCGCCTCCCTGATAACGGCGAAGGGGAGAGTGCCGAAGGCGTTGGCTATGTCCAACGACACAGCCACCACGCCTTCCCTCTCGCCGTTACCCTCCTCCACGATGTGTCGCAGCGACTCCAGGGCGTCCAGGGTGGAGAGTCCAGCCCTGAACCCGTACTGCCGCTGCGACACATCGGGGCCTGTCCCCCTCAAGTGTTCGTTGATCCTGGAGGCGATGATTCGCTCCAGGATCTTCGCCACCTCGTCCAGCAGGATAAGGGGCCTGAACCCCGAGGGGGAGTCCGCAGGTCGGCCCGGCTTGGGCACCAGGACGAGCCTTCCCTCCTTCCAGCATCTCGGGAACAACCCCGTCCTCAAACAGTCATCCATGAGATGCTTGAGGCGGGTCCCGAGATGCTTCAGGGCAACGCGAAGGACTCGTCCCGGTACCCCGTCCGGGCCGGGAGCCTTCTTCCGCCCCCGCAGCCGTCCCACCGCCCACTCCAACTCCCCCTCGGTGATTTCCGGGGGGGGTTCCTCAGTCTGCCCCCCGTCTGCTCTGGGGGGCACCATGGCCGGTGGGGTGAAGGGCTGCGGTTCGGGGAAAAGGCCCTCCACCACCCGGTTGAGATTCAGCTCCAGTGACTCCATGGGAGATGCGCCGTACATTTTGTTGCGCACAACTTTGTACGGCCTCCCCCATGGGTCCGCGTCCAGGGTGGCCAAGAACTCCTCTTTCGCGGAGTCCTTGGCCCGCCCTATTGCGACCTTCAGGGCCTGCCTCGCGGCCTGAAGGGCGCTGTGGAGCCTTCTCTCCTCACTTTGGGTGTGGCGCCTGCGGCGGCATCGGCCGTAGGCCCGCCGGGCCGTGGTACTGGCGGTGCGGAGGTCCCCAATCTCCGCGGTCCACCAGTACACACTCTATTTGCCCGGGGTCCCTCTGACCCTGGGCATGGCCCGCTCGCAGACGGCAGTCAAGTCTTCCTTGAACTTGACCGCCCTCTGCTCCACGTCGACGGTGGCCGGTGGGGGAGGGGCACCACGCCTGGACCATGGCTGCTTCCTCTGCGAGCTCAAGGTCCAGGCGGGTGAGTGCCCATTTGGGAAAGCCCCCCCCGGGGGCCGTGTTGGAGGCCGTCGTGGGCGGCGTATGGGAGACCCTCATCCGTATATATTTATGATCGGAGAGGGTCTCCTCGTCCTCCAGGACCTGCCAGCCTGATACTCGCGCGGCTAATGAGGGGGTCGCAAACGTGACGTCCACGATTGACCCCCCATTTCGCCGAACGCACGTGTTGGCATGGCCCCGGTTGAGGATGGCTAGCCCTAGGACTGCCGCCCAATTTTCCAACTCTGGCCCCCTGGTATTGGTGACCGGAGAACCCCACGCCGCGCTCTTGGCGTTGAAGTCCCCCAACACCAACACCGGCGTCGGAGCTGCCCTCCTCACCGCCCTCTCTAGGGTCTCCAGGAACGCCTGGAATTGGGCTAGTGTGCGGTTTGGAGAGAAGTACACCCCAATTAGGATGACTTCTCCCCACCTCGCCGCCACGAACCCTGACCCGCGTTCCTTCACCACTAGAGGGGGGGAGTGTCCGGCAGTCGACGCCACTATGGCCACCGTCTCCTCCCGATCCCCCGCCCAATTCCCCCGCGGGGGGACAAAGTATGGCTCCGCCACAGCAGCCACCGCAACCCCCCACTCCGCCATGGCCTGGACCAATAGGTCCTGTGCCCTGGCGCAGTGGTTGAGGTTGCCCTGCAGTATAATATGGTGGCGTGCTGGCATTACTGCTCCATACTTTGTCCCTCAATAGGGGGGGGCCTGGGGTCCCCGCCGACTTGCCCTTGGTGGGGGAGGGAGCGCAAGATCGCCCCCCCATCACGTGGTCCGCTGGACGGCGAGCCGCGGTGCAGACCGAGCACCGCGGGGTCGCCGTGCACCCGGAGGCCGAGTGTCCCACCTGGCCACACCTGAAGCAGAGCCCGCTCCTGTCTACACTGGACGAGCAGAGGGCTCTGGTGTGACCAATCCCCATGCACCTGAAACAGCGCATGGGGAGGGGCTCCATCACATGGACCCCGGCGGAGGACCACCCCACCAATATGCGGCCGGCAGCCGCCACCCGTTGGGCTGCCGTCACCGGGCAGCGGACGAGGGCTGACCCCCTCCCGTTGGGGGCCAGTCTGACGGCTCCCACGCTCACGGCGGACTGGGGGCATTGGCCCTTCGCGGCCACCACCGCCCGGATCTTCTCCGGGGTCACTGACTCGTCAAAACCGGTGACCCGTAGATCGGCGGTTTTGGTAGGCCACGTTACTGTCGCCAGCCCCCCGATCGCCTCCTCCAGCTTGGCCGCCAGGGTGTCGGCCTTCTCGGCGCTGGTCGCCCCGGGCACCTCGACTATGCACTAGGCACCCGTCTGGGTATTCCGCACCCGCACGTGCGGGATGCCGAGGCTGCCCAAATCGACCGCAGCGGTCGCTGCCTCAAGGACCACCTTGTAAGTGGCCCCCTTTTCCGCCACCGCTTCGGGCCTCAGCGTGATCACCACCGCCGATGATCTTGGGGTGGCGAGAGCCCTGGGTCTGGGAGCCGTCTTAGGGGCCGCCTTGGCGGGGGCCCGTGCCGCTTGGGGGGCGGCAGCTGCCGTTTTGGCCTTTCTGGCCTTGCGGCCGACTACCTGTGACCAGGGCGTTTCCTCCTGGTCAGTCGGCGTGGAGGCCGTCGCGTCAGGGGCGGTAGGGACGGCGAGAACGGCGGTGGGCGCCGCAGGAGGGGCAGCAGTCACCTTCCGCGGGGGAGCCTTCCTCTTGGCCTTCTTGCTGGGCCGCTGGCCGGCAGGCGCGTTTCGAGCCAGTGAGGGGCCCGGTGTCGACTCGGGGGCCGCGGCGGAGGGGAGCAACCTCGGGGCGACTGCGGTGACGGCAGGCGTCGCCTCGGGGGCGGGTTGTGTACTACCTACTGCGCTCAGGTCTCAAGTTAACTCTTGCGGGTTATAGTAAAAGTCTCGTTTAGAATTAATGTTTAATCTCCGCTAATATAGCTCACAATAATTAATTTAATTTGAAGTTATAGTGGTTTTTAAGTAGGTGACAAAATGGAGACGCTAAAACATCATTTATTCTCAAAGTGGGCAGTAGACAAAATAAATTTGGGAACCCCTGACTTAAAGTATATTGAGAGAAAACCACCTTCTATTGGAGCATAGGAGAAACAACTATTAAAATAATTGCACCTTACAAAATTTAGGCGCTATTCATAAAGATAAGTCTTCACGCGTGAAAAGCCACCCTTAAAGGTGGAATATTTTCTTTAAAAATAAATGAGACCACTATTGAGGTACCCTATTCCCAACAAAAAAAGAATCATCAAAATCGGTTCACAAATTTATTGCGTAACATACATACAAAAAAGCCGAATTAAGAACCTTCTCCTCTTTTTCAAGTCGGTTAAAACAATTAATTAACGGTCCGCCATATTGGTTTTGTAAGGGAAATAAACATTCCTACTACATTACCTGGCTTTTTAGCATGTATAACTTTTGCTCTCGTAGAGCTGGTAATGTAACTTGGTTATGCACGGGTAACAAGGGGTCATCATGGTCATTCCACTGATTTGACAAGTATATAATTGTAAAGGCACAGGAGTTAATGACTCAGAGATGTCAACAGACTTTATATATGCCGTAATCAAAATATCAAAGAGTATTTTTATAGCACATTATAAGCTGCGAATGATTTCTTTTGCGGAGATTTTTTTCGTTCAACGGGGTCGTCCTCCGAAAAATGAGTTCAACAACGCCATCTCGTTGACATATTGCGATATTATACTGCAATTTAATATTAAATGCACGTTAACCGCTTTTCCTGAAAGTAATGGATGTAGCACTCTTCGAATGATACAGAGATTATACTGGTAGACAGTCAAATTGCCAATTTGAACTTTAGACCATACAATTCTTGCAGGACTATAAGCCTGGGCACATACAATCGGAATTCCGTTCCGCTACTTCGAAGGCAGTAAAACCATACAAATTACACACTTAACTTTAGGAAGACTTGCTGAGGTTTTTTCAGATTCGAAATTCCGTATGGTGGCTTGTGTATTTGGGATTTCTCACGGAAAAAACCTCAGCAAGTCTTCCATAGATTTTGCAGGGTCGCAACCATGGAAGAAAAAAAAACAATAATAATAATAACGCACACACTCAACATAGCCCCGCACTAGGGAAACCCTGTGTCGCGGTTGCCATGGATACACACATAGACAACCACAAATTAAAGAAAGAAAGAAAGAAAGAAAATATATTTATTTGTTTACCACAATGACACCACAAAAGACAAAAGACAAAAAGAAGAGAAAACAGAACTAAAACAAAACACGATCAAAACATTCAACGTAAAACAAATATATAATTACGAAACAAAAACACAAACAAACACAAAATAAAAATGTATATACAAAAATTAGATAAAATTAAAACATGAACTATTCACACAAATAATAAAAAGAAGACTAAATATTGAGATACCTTGTGTGGTGCCAGCCGCGGTAACAAAAGGGTCACAAACTCAGTATTTGCTGGAAAACGCAACGCGTTCCCAGCACTGATTTTCAGTTAAGACCCTAAGTGAGGTCACGGAACAACATATGCAAGCATATTTTGGTACTTGAATATAACAGTAAAATAATTATATATACGTACATATTAAAACTGTAACAGATGTGTGTGTGTGAGTGTGGGTGTGTGTGTTGTGTATGTTTAAATACTTCCAAATAATTTATATATAACTATGAAAATACTTTATAATAATTAATACGTATACACTATACCTACATCAAGCAACTAATACATTATATAACAAATGTGTATAAAAAGTATAAATAAATAGGTGCTGGAAAAAGTTAATACAATCCCTTTTGATTTTCCAGCAGGAGAGCCTTAAGCTTGCGCTTAAAAGCATTCCTACTAGAAGTGTCATGAAGAGGAGGGGGTAGATCATTCCAGCACCTGGATGACGCAAACTTGAAACTTCCTCTGAAAGCTGCTGTATGGTGAGCAGGAACGATAGCCCGAACCTTGTATTTAAAACAGTTCTGAGACCAACGAAGTTTGCGATAGAGATACTCAGGTGTCTCGGTTCTCACTACACCGAACAGCAACATAGAGAGGTGTAGCTGCCGACGAGCAGTCATATTTAAAAGGCTTGCAGCATTCAAAAACGGGGTGATATGGGATCTAGGAGGCACCCGAAAGCAAAAGCGTGTGCATGCGTTTTGTACACGTTGTATCAACTTCTTAGACCTATTAAAAATACAATTACTATATACTACATCACAATAGTTTAACCGCGACAATATCAGTGATTCACAAAGGTGTACACGCAAATCAACGCTAAGGTAATCACGAATACCATACAACAATTTGAGTCGATAAAAACAGTTACCGGTCACATTGACGATGTGCTCCTCAAAACGAAGTTCACTGTCCATCAGTACTCCGAGGTTTCTGACCCTATCGACCCGTTCCATTGGTTCACCCATAACCGCAATATTTCTGGAAGCAAGGGCTTCCAGTGTATTATGGATTTGACCCTTTGTTCCAAGCACCATGTACTTAGACTTACTCGGATTCAGTACTAGACAGTTCCTATCAGACCACGCCGCTATACGATCTAGATCAGCATTGATGTCATTGACTGAAGCAATAGTATCAGATGGCTTACCCGATATGTATAGTTGCAAATCGTCCGCATACAGGTGGTAGCTACAGTTTCTTATACTAGTAACGATATCGGCACTGTATAATATAAATAGTAACGGCCCTAAAATGGAACCCTGAGGCACACCTCTAGTTACAGGGCGGAGAGAGGAATACTCAGTGGTACCGTTAACCGTATGCAGTTCAACTATTTGAGCCCGACCCGAAAGATAGCCATGAAACCATTCGATGGTTTTAGTGTCAAATCCATAATACGACATCTTGGACAATAGAAGTGGTATGCTCAAACTTTTCATTACACTCAAACTCACGAGAGAAATAGATGTAGGCCATACAAATATTTCTCCCGGCCCGGGAACCGAATCTTGGGACCACTGTGTGGCAATCCGGCATGGTAACCGTTCGGCCACGGAGGCAGTTATGGAAGTGCCCTAATACTCGATTACTATATTATTTATTTATTTATTATTCAAAATTACAACGTATTACTTATTGCAAAAAGTCGCCAAACTGCTGTGCAGTTTGTTGGCGACATGTGCACTCTTACTTAATAATACCTACTTTACTATATTTAACATTATACAATTGAATCACTAACTTATTAAATAAAAGATAAAGATTATTTTAAGAGGTACGCCTTTAACTTACGTTTTAGTGCATATTTACTTAATTTTGTATCATTTCTAAGCCAATCCATGTCGTTATATATTTTTGGAACTAAATAGCGTGTACATCTTTTTCCATAATAATTATTTGCTTTAAACTGCACTAGTTTACCCTGCCTTACTCTTTTTGTCATGTACTTATTTTTAAGCCTAACTTTATAATTATCGCTATAGTAATTTTCCAACACTATCAAATACCTACTCTTAACTTCTATAGGCATGACCCTACAGTAACTAAATAAGTCATTGTACTCTGTGTGTTTACATTTTTCTATTACTTTTTTGCACACTAAATGTTTTATCAGACTAATTTGTAACTTTCTGATTCCTTTAAGATAAGTAGTAAAGGTCCGACCATATACATTTAATCCATAGCTTATTAGCGAGTCTGCCAGCGC